CCCGGGACGGTCCGAGGGCAGCGGGTCGCAGGTCCAGCCACGGCGTCGTCGTCAGCACGGCTGCAGGGTCAGGTGAGGCCGCGACTGCAACTGCGGGACACGGCGCGGCCCGGGGGACCAGGTGGCCCCGCATCTGCCCGTCTCTCCGTCAGTGTGGGTGCAGGGCGGGCCCTTGGGGCCAGGCAGGCCGGGTGGGCACACGGGGTGTCCGGAAGTTCGGGAAGGGTGCTGGGGGGACGGGGCGCTGGGGGACGGGGACGGGGACGGGGAGGCGGAGGCTCGGGCCTGAGGGCCGGGTGCGCCGTGGGCCGCCTCCTCTCGCGCACGTGGGGCCTGTTCGGGGCTGGGCTGCTCCACGTGTGCGGCCATTACCCCGGCTTCAGCGGCAACAGGAAGCAGGTGGGAGCCGCCGCCTGGTCTGCGGGCCCGGGGCTGCTGCTGAGATGTGGCTGTGACCCCTGGAACGAGGCTGTGACCCCTGGGATCCTCCTGGGGAGTCGGGAGAAGTGGCTTTGACCCCTGGGATGTGGACTGCGCCCTGAGACGGGACTGTGACCCCTGGGACGGCGCTCTGACCCCTGGGACATGGCTTTGACCCCTGGGATGGGGCTGTGACCCCTGGGACGTGGCTGTGACCCCTGGGGTGTGGCTGTGACCCCTGGGATGTGGCTTTGACCCCTGGGACTTGGCTGTGACCCCTAGGATGTGGCTGTGACCTGAGATGTGCCTGGTCCAAGCTGCGGTGTGTGCCTAGTACAAAATAGTATAAAATAATACCCACGTTCCCAAGACCTCCTATGGAAAAAGGAGTGCAGTAACCATTTGTGCTGATTCTGTAAGTGGTAACATTAAAAAGCAATGTTTGTATGGATTTTAGAGAGAGGAAGGGAGAGGGAGAGACAGATAGAAACATGGATGAGACAGAAACAGCAACATTGATGGGCTGCCTCCTGCACGCCCCTCGGGGGTGGAGCGAAACCCAGGCAGGTGCCCTGTTGGGGAATCCAAGACCTGGTGGTGCAGGGTCTGTGCTCGACCGCGTAGCCACACCCACCAGCAGTGGTAACATTTTAAAATATATATATTTTTATTGATTTCAGAGAGGAAGGAAGAGGGAGAGATAGAAACATCAATGATGAGAGAGATTCATTAGTTTGCTGCCCCCTGCTCACCCCACACGGGATCGAGCCCAACCGGGCATGTGTCCTGACTGGGAATCGAACCTGGGACCTCTTGGTCCATGGGACGATGCTCAACCCACTGAGCCACCACAGCCGGCCCATTTTTGATGCACTGGGTTACATAGGTGTCACTAGGGTTGATTTTGCTGGTTTTTAAAACCTTCGTTATGTGGCAGGCAGAAAACTTAAATTTTGCCTGTGTCCTGAGACTTTATTTCTGTTGGGCAGTGCTGGCATATACCAAGTTTGAAATAAGAACTGATGATGCGCTTACCTACCTCACCCAGGAGCTACGTTGTCAAAGCAACCTTTTATCCGTGTTAGAATTCTGTAACTTCAACCTCTGATGTCTGGAGTCATGAAAGTACAGTAATCCTCACTTAACGTCGTCGACAGGTTCTTGGAACTTGTAACTTTAAACAAAATGACATATAATGAAACCAGTTTCACCCTAGCGTCTAGGCCAGTGATGGCGAACCTATGACACGCGTGTCAGAGGTGACACTCGAACTCATTTTTTTGGTTGATTTTTCTTTGTTAAATGGCATTTAAATATATAAAATAAATATCAAAAATATAAGTCTTTGTTTTACTATGGTTGCAAATACCAAAAAATTTCTATATGTGACACGGCACCAGAGTTAAGTTAGGGTTTTTCAAAATGCTGACACGCCGAGCTCAAAAGGTTCGCCATCACTGGCCTAGGCTAATTGATATTAACAAGAGTTAAGTTCCTAAAGCATATTTCTGGTCAGAAGAACACCTAACTTCTAAATAAAGACCCCAAACACTTTTCATATTAACCATTGAAGTAAATGTAAGCTACATATACATTTAAGAAAGATTAATGAAAAAAAGACAAAACAAAGAAACAAACAAGAAAAGATTAATGGAAACAAGTAAGATCATTATTTCCAACTACTTATTCCCGTTTAGGATCACTGGTGGCCAGTCCAACCCGACAGCTCAGGGTGCAAGGTGGGATCCCACCCAGTCAGGATGCCCTTCCATCGCAGGGTCACCCGCACCCGCGCCCACACTCACTCTGACTGGGACAGCGTGGATGCACCATTCACCTCACATGTGCATCTGTGCACGTCATTGGGATGTGGAAGGATCTCCCCTCCCCCCACACACGGGGAGAACGTGTAAATTCCACAGATAGTGAGCCCAGCTGGGAAACATTTTTCTTCTCATCAACATTATAACAAAACTAGGGGCCCAGTGCAATAATTCGTGCACCTTGAAAGGAACTGTGGGCTGCGAGGCTGCGGTGGGCACAGGGGCGGGTCTCGCCCCATCCTCCGTGCCCCCGCCCAGCTCCTCCTGCTGTGGCCCCCGGTCTCCTGTCTGTTGGCAGCCCTCCTCCCGCCACAGCTGCTCTCATGCGCCGGCCGTACTCGCACCCGCTGACAGCACGGACTGATTGGGGCCGGCGCCAGCAGCAGGTATGAGTGGTGGCTGCTGCTCCGATCACCCCTCAGGAGCAAGGGGAGGTAGAGAAGCCCTCAGGGGCAATCGGGGCCAGTAGCCGCCGCTCGTACTGACTAACAGCGCTGAGCGATTGGGGCTAGCACCGGGCACCAGCAGTGGGTGTGAGTGGGGCTGGTGCCGGCAGCAGGTGCAAGTGCCAGGCGGAACCACGGTGCATGGGAGCAAAGAATTTTCAGTAACCACCAGAGGCTCGCCCAATGACAGCGACCAGCACCCCACCCCGCTTTAGTCTGGCACCCCTGTCCACCTGCTCCACCATCCTGCTGCAGCCGATGCCCACCATGTTCCACATGTGCCCCCTGGTGGTCAGCGCACGTCATAGCGACTGTTTGTTTGGTTGTTCAGTTGTTCCGCCATTAGGTCTATTTGCACATTAGGATTTTATACATATAGATGACATTGAACAAAATGATATTATTTGAGGATCTGTTGTAATACACATTTATGAATGTATTTTGATTTATTAACTCAAATGTTATGCAAATCAGCAGGTAGTTATCTGTGTTTATTAGCATTTTAAACAAGCTTCTTAGCTATAAAGAAGTCTTTAAGGTACTTCATTTGGAAAATTCCAACTGAGATAAAGATTAATGTTTGTGCAAAAGCCCACCATAAAACATTGCTATTTGTGTCTTCACTGGTCATTCGAAAATTTTCTTCACGGTCCTGTACAGAAGAAAAATAGGCAGGTTTAGTTTTTAGTTTCTTTTTCTTTCTCTCTCTCTTTTTTTTGCTGTTGTTGTTAATCCTCACCCAAGGATATTATTTCCATTGATCTTTTTTTAGAGAGAGTGGAAGGAAGGGAGGGGTGGAGAGAGAGAGGGTGGGGGGTTGAACCTGCAACCCAGGTAGATGCCCTTGACTGGGAATTGAACCCACAACCCTTTTGTGCGGGGGCTGAAGCTTTAACCACTTAGCACACCAGGGCAGTTTCTTAAAGGGCTTACTGCATGAGTTTGAGGGGAAGGTGCTGTTTGCATTCAAAGTATTTGATATAAAATAAAACACACACACACAATACAAACAAAAACCAAAGTATTTGATGTTTCTCAATTAGTATCTTATACCAAAGTGTCATCTCTGATTTTCTAAGCCAGCTGTGGTGTTAGCAAAGACAAGGATTAAGAATCAACCTTGTAAGACATTTTTGTATTTTGGTGTAAAATATCAGGTATTTGATCTCTTACTTTGTCACTGTTAAGCAGAGTGAACATTGCCCAATAGTTGTGGATTTTCATGGTTTGAATTCTTACTTTACTTTAAGCTGGACTCTGTGTCAGCACACCTGCCCTCATCTTATTTTCCAGATGAGGAAACAGGCCTAGAGATGACACCAGGGTAGTGACTGGTGGAGCATATGTGAGCCCTCCTCTGACCACGGTCCATGAGCGCAGTGACCCAGAAAACCCGTGCTGTCACAGGAGCACAGTGTGACTGAGGAAGTGGGCATACTTAGCCTCTTCGGACCCGTGGGCTGTCTTTGGAAGCACTTACGTATTCATTCTGTAAACTCATACCCCTAAGGTGAATGGCTGCAGCCTCCAGTCCTAGAGGAACCTGCTGTCCAGGGGACAGAATGGCCCTTCCCCCACACCCCGTGTGTCCGCGCAGTGTGGCTCAGGGAGAAAGACCAAGGAGCAGAGTTTATTCTTTCCTTGGTTCAGGGACTTCGTCTGCGGAATTACGTTCCTGGCAGGAAGAGATAAAATGAGCTGAACAGGCAAACTGACCCTTTGATAGTTTTGTTCTTTGACTATTTGCTCAATTTGCTCAATTAGATGTTCAAGCTTGAAGCTAACTTCATTAACTTTGTCCTTGGCTTGAGCAATGGCAGCATCGAGGTCATGTTCTCCAACGCGGATGTCTAAGTGGATCCGCTGTGCCAACAGTGAGAAGGAAGAAGCGCATTTTAAAAGAACTCCCCTTTCTCCTTCTCTCCCTCTGCGTGTCCTCAGTTCCTCTCTCCTTCCTTTCCCCCCTTTTAAGAGCAGGCAGCCCCGCGTTCTCCATCTCCCCTTCCCCTCACTGCCACTCTGTCCCCCGTTTTACTCAGCAGTCCTCTGTAATAATAATGCACAGAATGCTCATCTACTGACTGAGGGACTTACACCCTCCTGGACCTCAAATTTACTATCAGGCAAATGCGTTGGGTGCTGAGAATGTGATTACTCCCAGCAAAGTTTCTTTACACACAACTGAGTTTCTGATGCTAAAGTACACATTCTCCTCGTTAGTTCTCAGCACATTTAGGAAATAGCCAATCACCATCTACCGTGAAGAGTTTTATTTATTGGAATTCCATTATTAATTCACCCTCAGCCCTCACTTGTTTTCAAGCCTGAATAATCACAGTGCTTTTAACCTCCCCTCACAGTTCTTACTCAAGCCCTTTAATCAACTTCGTGGCGCTCCTTTGAACCCCTTCCAAGCTTTCCAGCTCCCTCTGTGGTGGCAGCGCTGAGATCTGGGTGCAGGACTTTAATAAGTCTCTAGCCAGCCCGGGTGTCATGGCTCTGCATACTGATGTCATGCCTGAATAGTGCTGACACTGTGTTCATCAGCAGCGACGTGGGGGCGGGTACTTACCAGCTTACTCCCTCCAAACGACACAAGCCGCGTGGAATTAGATTCTAAGCAAATGATGTGTTCGCCAGGTGAATGTGAAGTGAAATAGAATGTTCCTTGTGGGCCATATAACTTTGACAATAGTACCTAGGATGGAGGATATCCACAGTGTAAGCTTATTATTCTCTAGTTGCCATTCTTACAAATAAATCTCTGTATCTAGTAAAAAGTGTGCAATTCCTAAAGAAGAAATCCAATGGCCAACAAACATGAAAAATATTCAGACTTCCTAATAATAAAAAAATACAAACCACAGTAGGATATCCTTGTTTGTTACCAGGTTGGCAACAATTTAAAAGTGCTCAAGGGCATATTGAGAAATACTATCTCCAAACACTGTTTTGGGAATTGAACAACCATACTGGAGAGCACTTTGGCACTATATATTGATTATTAAAATGGGTGTAACTAATGACCCAGCAGTTCTACCTATGGAAATTTACCCTATAGAAATGCACATGTAGATAAAGTTATATGTAAAAAGATATTCAGTGTGATGTTATTCATAGTAGCAAAATTACATTAAATTTTTTAAAAATCTTCATCTGAGCAATATTCATTAGTTTTAGAGAGAGAGGGAGGGGAGAGAGAGAGAAACATTGATGTGGGAGAGAAATATTGATCAGTTGCCCTCTGTACGTGCCCCAATGGGAATTGAACCTATAACCCACGTATGTGCCCTGACTGGGAATCAGATCTGCCACCTTGTGTGTGTGTGTGTGTGTGTGTGTGTGTGTGTGTGATGATGCTCAACCAACTGAGCCATCTGGCCAGGCCAAAATTGCAATTTTGAAATAATTTTAACACCTTTCAGTGAAGGGGGTTGATTAAATTCAGGCAAAGCCAAATAAAGAAACATGTAGCATTAAAAGAGAATATTATATATTACTAGAGGCCCAGCGCACGAAATTTGTGCACGGGTAGGGTCCCTAGGCCTGGCCGGCAATCAGGGCCGATTGTGGCCTTCCTTCGTTCTGCACTGCCCCCTGGTGGTCAGCACACGTCATAGCAAGTGGTTGAACTCCCGGTCAGTAGAACTCCCGAGGGGACAGTTTGCATATTAGCCTTTTATTATATAGGATATCCATATCTGTATAGAAGGTGTCCATCATATCCTCTGGCAGAGCAGTCTGTGTAGGATCCTCTTTTGGTAAAAGAAGCATCATTTGTAAAAGATCACATACACATATATGTTTCTGTGTGCTTATAAGAGAATTGTAAAGAACACACACCAGATTGTTAGGTGGTTATATTTGTTGGGGAACTTTGATTTTTCTCTTTATTTATATATTAGAGGCCCGGTGCACAAAAATTTGTGCACTCGGGGGGGAAGGGGGGGTCCCTCAGCCCGGCCTGTGCCCTCTCGCAGTCTGGGACCCCTCGGGAGATAATGACCTGCTGGCTTAGGCCTGCTCCTGGGTGGCAGAGGGCAGGCCCAATCCCTAGGTGCAGCCCCTGGTCGGGCTCAGAGCAGGGCTGATTGGGGAGTTGGGGCGCTGCCCCCTGTCATGCACAGAGCAGGGCGGATTGGGAGGTTGCGATGCCACCCTCAGTCACGCTAAGGGTAGGGCTGATTGGGGGGTTGGGGCACCGCCCCCTATTACACTCAAGGCAGGGTCGATGGGGCGGTTGTGGCGCCACCCCCTGTGACGCACAGAGCAGGGCCAATCAGGGGGTTGGGGCACTGCCCCCTGTCACGCACAGAGCAGGGCCCATCAGGGGGGTTGGGGCTCCGTACCCTGTCACGCACAGAGCAGGGCCCATCAGGGGGTTGAGGAGCTCCCCCCGTCACTCACAGAGTAGGGCCGATAGGGGAGTTAGGGCACCGCCCCCTGTCACACACACAGCAGGGCGGATCAGGGGGTTGGGGCAGGGCCGATGGGGAGGTTATGGCTCTACCCCATCACACACAGAGCAGGTCCCGTGTTGGGGGGGGGGGTTGGGGCGCCACCCTCTATCACCCACAGAGCAGGGCCGATCAGGGGGTTGGGGCGCTGCCACTCTCACACTCAGGGCAGGGCTGATGGGGAGGTTATGGCTTTACCCTGTCACACACAGAGCAGGGCCTGTGGAGGGGGGGGGGTTGGGGCGCTGCACCCTGTCACACACAGAGCCGCAGGGCGATCAGGGGGTTTGGGCGCTGCCCCCTGTCACACTGATCCGGTGCCAGGAGGCCTCGCGGCTCCACTGATCCCGGTGCTGGGAGGCATATTACCCTTTTACTATATAGGATAGAGGCCTGGGGGCCAGCTGGTTTGCCCTGAAGGGTGTCCTGGATCAGGGTGGGGGTCCCCACTGGGGTGCCTGGCCAGTCTGGGTGAGGAGCTGAGGGCTGCTTTCAGGCTGGCAATTGACTGAAGCTCCCAACCACTCCTTTTTTTCTTTTTCTTTTTCTTTTTTTTAATTCTGGGCCAGCTTTAGCTCTGGCTCTAGCTCTGAGGTTTCCGCTGCTATAATCGAAACAATGTATAACTCTAGCTCTGAGATCCCGGCTGGCTGAAAGCTGGTTTCTGGGGTTTTGTTTAGCTTCTATATTTGCAACATAGTTTCTTAGAGTTGTAGCTCAGAGGCCGGCAAGTCAGGCGGGGAACGTTGCAGTCTGCAGTCACTGGAGCAAGCAAGCCTCATGTTCGCTTCCAGCTGCCTGGCTGCCGGCCGCCATCTTGGCTGACAGTTAATTTGCATAAGGATATGCTGATTAGCCAATGGGAAGGGTAGCGGTCGTATGCTAATTACCATGTTTCTCTTTTATTAGTGTAGATTGTTTGGGATTTTAAAACAGGTATAGGACTACTAGTCTGGCATATAAGGAGCTTAGAAGTTGTCATTTTGTCCTAACAACAAGTAAAAATGTGAACAAAAAGAAATCACTTCTTAGATCTGTCAGAGAATTGAGGTCACAGGGCAAACTGCTGCCTCCAAAATTGTAGAGAAGAACAAGCAAATACAAAGAACACAATTTACCAGAGAAGAACCTCTGTGGGAACCAGTACTGGGTTCCCTTCACCCATTACATCATGTGCACCTTACGACAATTACAAGGCACATTAAAAGGCAAGAAGACACAGTTTGAAGAGACAGAGCCAGCATCAGAATCAGATTCAGACATGCTGGGATATTGGAATTATCAGAACAGGAATTCAGAAAAACTATGACTAATATGCTAAGGGCTCTAATGAAACAAGCAGACACTATGCTAGAACAGATGGCAATGCAAGCAGAGAGGTGGAAATCCAAAGAAGGAATCAGAAAGAAACTCTGGAGTTAAAAATGCTGCAGCAGAAGTGAAGAATGCCTCTGATGGGCTCCTTAGTAGGCTGGACACAGCTGAGGAAAGAGTCTCTGAGCTTGAGGGTAGGTCAACAGGAACTTCCCAAACTGAAAAGCAAAGAGAAAAAAGAGGGACAGAATATCCAAGAACCATGGGACAACTGCAGAAGGTGTAACACACACATAATGGGAACACCCGAGGGAGAAGAAAGAGAGGAACAGAAGACATATTTAAAGCATCAATGACTGAGAACTTCCTCCAAATTCATGTCATATGCCAAGCCACAGAGCCAGGAAGCTCAGAGAACACCAAGCAGGATAAATGCCCAAGCATATTATGTCGAAACTGCAGATATTAAAGATACAATCATGAAAGAAACCAGAGGGGAAAACCCCTCAGTAACCATCAAGTAAGTAGAGAGGGGAGTGGAACAGTGTTGAGAGAGAGAAAAAAAACTGTGCCAATATGGAATTCTGTATCCTGCAAAATTCTCCTTCAAAAGTGAAGGAGAAATAAAGATTTCCTCAGACAAACAAAAATTGAGGGGATTTGTCACTGATAGACTTGCCAGGCAAGAGATGTTAAAAAGTTCTTTGGAGAAAAAGAAAACAATATAGGTCAGGAACTTGGATCTACATAAAGAACAGAAGAGCATTAGAGGAGGAATAAGTGAAAGTAAACTTTAAAATTTAATTTTTCTTTACTGATCTAACACATAACAGTCTGTTCAAAATAACAGCAGTAATGATTATAGTTTATGTATCAGTGACGTGAATGGCACAGTGATGCAAGGGAAGGAAGACTTGGGGATACCTAGTGATTATAAGGCACGTGCTGTACTTGTGAAGTGGTAGGACGTTGTTTGAAAGTGGACTTGGACTAGTTGCATATATATATATTGCAAACACTAAGGCAACCACTAAAAAAAATGTTTATAAAAAAGTGTAACTGATGATTCTCTCTCATCATTGATGTTTCTGTCTCTCCATCTCCCTTTCTGAAATCGATAAAAATATATGAAGCCTGGCTGGTGTGGCTCAGCGGTTGAACATTGACATATGAACCAGGAGGTCAGGGTTCGATTCCCAGTCAGGGCACATGCATGGGTTGTGGGCTCAATCCCCAGTGTGGGGCATGCAAGAGGCAGCCGATCAATGATTCTCTCTCATCATTGATGTTTCTGTCTCTTTCTCCCTCTCCCTCCCTCTCTGAAATAAATAAAAAATATTTAAAAAATATTTTATTGATATTTTACAGAGAGGAAGGGAGAGGCATAGAGAGTTAGAAACATCGATGAGAGAGAAACATCGATCAGCTGCCTCCTGCACACCTCCTACTGGGGATGTGCCCACAACCAAGGTACATGCCCTTGACTGGAATCGAACCTGGGACCTTTCAGTCCACAGGCCAACGCTCTATCCACTGAGCCAAACCAGTTAGGGCAATAAAAAATATTTTTAAAATATATTTTTTTAAAAAAACATCAATGAGAGCAGCTGCCTCCTGCACACCCCGACTGGGGATCAAGCCCCCAATCCTAGAATGTGCCCTGACTGGGAATCAAACTGGTGACCTTTGCATGGGACAACGCTCAGTCCATTACGCCACACCAGCCAGGCTTGATTGGGAAATTTTATTAAATAAGACTGCATTCAAAGGTCTGATTTTACAATTGATTTCTGATTTTAAGTGAATAACAGAGAACTCTGCTCTGAAAAAGCATTGTGACTGCTGGTTATCACAGTCAGTGTCTGAGCTTTAGTTTCATGTCCAGGCTCTGTATCGTCTACTCCCAGTGGATAGTCAAGTCAGCACACCCTCCGAATGCCTGCTGATTGGTGTATTGGAAAAACACACATATAAGTGTAAATATCATTGTTGCCACTTGCTGATGGTGAGCTCTTGTCTGTCATGTAGCCTCTCAGAACAACAGGTTTTCTTCTACAAAATGGAATAGGAATATTGGACATGGAGTAGTGGGAAATGGAGCACAGAAGACATGTTTGTGTGGTACATGTGCATCGTTGATGTGGTCTGCCCTGCGTGCGCATGCTGTTCTGTTGGGCTATCAGTCACATGCATAGGAATGGACGCGTGATTGGGGCCAACTTAAGAGGACCCCAAGCCCTCAGTGTCCTTGTGGGGGTGCTGACAGGTATCTTACTAGTAAATGGGGATCTGATCTTGTACGAAATATATTTTTATTGATTTCAGAGAGGAAGGGAGAGGGAAAGAGAGATAGAAACATCAATGAAGAGAGAGAATCATTGATTGGCTGCCTCCTGCACGCCCCATACTGGGGATCAAGCCCACAACCCGGGCATGTGCCCTTGATCGGAATCGAACCTGGGACCTTTCAGCCTGTAGGCCGGCGATGTTCTATCTACTGAGCCAAACTGGTAGGGCATGCCATTTCTTATCATATTCCAAACGGAAGGGCTATCCTGAAAATAAGGCCTGAAGGTGAGAGTTTTGTCTCTCCTAGGCCAAGAAGAGGGCTGAGCATATATTAGCCCGTGATAAAATTTGTTGGATGTTTGCAGAATGAACAGAAACATATCTCCTCTCTTAGGCAATTGTGCTTTTGAAGAACAGACCTTCTCTGTCTTAATAACAGTAAACAGATTTTTCTGTGACAGTTTTTAGCCCAGCTAGGGTTTGGGTTCTGGTTTTAATAAACCTTGGAGACAGTTCCAGATTGCTCCCGAAGGACTACTGGGAAAGAGCAAGAGACCTGCACGCTGGTATCCCCGGACAAGGGACACGGGGGTGGGGTGCAGGGAGGACAGGTGACTGGAGGTGGGAAGGGTCCCAGTGGAACTGTTATGAGGGAGGTGCCAAGTGCGCCAGGAGAAGAACGCTACCACAGGCAAGTACCAAGTGTCCCGTATCCAGTTGGAATGGAGTCTCCAGTGACCCAGCTCCAGCCTCCCCATGAGAGGGGTGTCCTATGTCTGCCCTCAGCTCAGGCCCAGGTGTCCCCTAGTTTTCAGGAGAATAGGAACATTGTCCTGCCTACACCAAGTGCCTCTCGGCAGAGAGGAGGTGCCTGTTCTACAAGGCGGTGCTGCACCGCCACCCTGCACCCCATGAGCACCGCGCAGGACCACTCCAGTCCAGATGGAAGTAATGCCCGCAGCTGTGTTTGAGTTACTGGCTGAGCAGGTCAGCGCACCTTGAGCTGCATGGTCAGGAGTGGACACCCGTTATATCCATTGTGCAGACGGGAAAGTGGAGGATCGAAGCAGGCAAGTATCCTGCTCAGGATTCAGCTTAGAGGCAGTCTACACCGTAACTTGGCTCTGATTCCAAAACCCATGTTCTGTCCCCTTGATCAAGATGCCCGTCTCGCTCCTTCGCTAACTCCCAGGGAGACCAGGCAGACCCAGGGAGCCCTGCCAGCACCCGAGGGGGAGGTGTCCTGTCTGGCCCTCACGGGGGAGGGTGTGGTATGTGGCCACGCAGAGCAGACGAAGCCTGGCCCCTGCAGAAGCATTGGGACGCCTTGACCCTGTGGGTGCCCTCTGCCCAGCAAGCCCAGCCAAACTCAGTTTGTGTTGTTTCTAAACGCTCTCTGCCCGGGCGTCGCCTAGACGAGGCTCACGAGAGCAGGCACCTTCTAGTCTGCCGTGCCTGACGGAGCGTGAGGAGTGGAAGTGCTGCTTAGTGAGTGCTCGCCCAGAGATCGCACACGTTTGTGGGGATACATGCCTTGTGAACTTTAGCGACGGAAACATTTTAGTAACAAAATGTAAAGAATGTTTTACCTCCTCGTTGTAAGTCGTAACCGTCACAAAGAGCCCCAGACCAGGAGCAGATTCCAGGAAGTCCTGTCTGCCCATGTCCCATTGCTGTATCTTGAAAGTGCCTGTTTGAAGTGTGAGACAAGACAGGTGACAGAGTAAATGTGAGGAGCGGTTACACATGATTGCCGACACACGAGCTTGTGTTTGAGCGTGAGTTTACACCCTGAGTGGGTCACGTGGTAGAGGCGGAAAACCGGAATATGTAGGAAGGTTTGAGCGCTGGGTCCCATCTCTCTTGTCTGCAGTGGTTTCGCCGCTCTGCGCCTGCGTTTCTGTGCAGTGAAGTGAGGAGGGGACAGTTCCTAGTCCTCTGAGGTCGCAGCCATGGGGCTGTGGGGGAAGGTAGCCTATGAAGCTTTCCATCAGAGCATAACTTGGCCTGGGTCATGCAGGCCCCCCTCCAGCACCTTCTCAGTGGTTCTGCCTCAGTGTCCCCCTACCCTCAACGTACCCTGAATACTCCCGGCATAATTCCTTCTTCAAGCTTAGGTGTGTTCATGCCAGATCCTTTTGCCTCCAAAGGCTCCTACTAAAATGTGGGTTGCTGAAGGGCCCCCCACCTTCTCCCTTTAGGGCCCGATCAGCATCATATGGCTCAGCTTTCTCCTCGTAGCCTTCAGAAGTACGATATGAAAGAAGAACTAGCTAACATTGGTTGGAAAAGATCTAACAGTACCTTATGTGTGCCAGGTACTGTGTTAGCATTTAACATTCACTATCTCATGCCTTCTCACAGCTGCTCTTAGGAAAGTATTTGTATCCATTCATTCCCCCAGCGGTGTGACAATAGTAACAGCACCTTCCTCGGGGAGCCTGTTCCAGGAGCTGAGGACAGAAGTGAGCGGAACAGGCAATGGCTCTGTCCCGAGGAGCTTTCCTGCAGGCAGTCAGGCAGCGAGCAGGCAGGGGCCTAATGTCGGGAGTGCTGATGCCGAAAGAAGCAGGCGGAGGTAGACAAGCTAGGGGAGGGCTTGCTGACATTGAGCACAGCCTGAAGGAAAGGGGAGTAAAATACACAATTTTATAATATTTATACTTAGAAACATAATGTGAAAATTATATTTCTGTCACACTCAGTGCTAATTATGTGCCAAGCACCTTTCTAAGGAATTCACACATATAATCTGAGTTTTAATGACAACATTATGTAGTTAGATACTATTTTTTTATTGATTTTTAGAGAGCGAGAAGGGAGAGAGAAAGAAACATCGATTTGTTGTCCACTTACTAATATTTATGCATTCATTGGTTGACTCTTGTATGTGCCCTGATCGGGATAGAACTCAAAACTTGGTGTATCAGGACAATGCTCTAACCCAGTGGTCGGCAAACTGCGGCTTGCGAGCCACATGCGGCTCTTTGGCCCCTTGAGTGTGGCTCTTCCACAAAATACCACGTGCGGGCGCGCACGTACAGTGCGATTGAAACTTCGTGGCCCATGCGCAGAAATCAGTATTTTGTGGAAAAGCCACACTCAAGGGGCCAAAGAGCCACATGTGGCTCGCGAGCTGCAGTTTGCCGACCACTGCTCTAACCAACTGAGCTACCCTGCCGGGGCTGCTAGATACTATTCTTACGATGATTTTATACATGTTGAAACCAAAGCATAGAAAAAGCGAGTTGCCAAAGGTCACGTACCTAACACGTGGCAGACTCGGGGCTCAGACCCAGGCAGCGTGTCTTTTCCTCAGCACCACATGATGCAGCCCCCTCCCCCGCCCCCCCCCCCCCCCCGGGGAAAGGTCCTTCTGTGCAGCAGCACGGCAGAGTCCTGGGCCAGGAGCATGCCTGCTGTGTGAGGAACAGCGGAGTGGCTGGAGTGAGGTTAGCGGGAGATGAGGTTGACGGGATAGCCAGGGCCAGACCAGGGAGGGCCTACAGGTCCGTTGTAAGGATTTGGGGAAGCAATTGGTTGGAGGAGTGAAATGCTGTGGTTTTCATTTTGAAATTTTCACTGCGTGGAGAAAAGGATGAAGAGGATCAGGAGTGGAAGTGGGGAGGCTGTCGAATCCAGGTGGTGTGGACCAGGTGCTAGTGTGGAGGCTGCACAAAACGCTGGAGTCTGTGTTGCTGTCCCTGTTATTCAGGGGAACTCAGTCTCAGAGATAGAGACACAGCCCAGAGCCACCCAGGAATAAGCTGCGGAGGCAGAATTACCACCAAAGCCACCTGCTTCGAAGGCCCAGCACGTCTCCAGTGCACACTGCCTTCCTGGGGGGGACCCGAGGTGAGAGCCCCGCCCTCACGCAACTGTAGGGGGCAGCTTTGGAAAGTGGGGGACCCTGGGGGACAGCGAGCGAGCATTTCCTGGGACGAAGGCTGCAGCCTGCACCCTGAGTAACTAACCTTCAGCATCTTTTGAATAGACCTGCCTCTTCCCTTTAGACGTCTGCTGACTGTATACTCTGTCGTTTCTAGAATGGTCCACCTTAAGGTCTTTAAAAAGTATCATAGATGATTCTGGAAAAGATGGAGCAAGTCTATTCCACCCTCTTCCTCCTGCTAATTACAACTGAGCACCAGGCAGCTGTCAGGAAACTCCGGAAGGTGGAAAACCAAGCTCACTGGCCAAGGACCTCATGACTCAGCACGACTCAGCAGTGCAGTTTGTTTTCCCCACACCTACGCGTCCTTACCTGGGAGCTAGAGCAGTATGCAGCTGCAGACCAAACTAGAGAGAGGGAGAGGGAGAGGGAGAGGGAGAGGGAGAGGGAGAGGGAGAGGGAGAGGGAGAGAGAGAGAGAGAGAGAGAGAGAGAGAGAGAGAGAGAGGAGGAAGTGAGAAAACCCACTCACAACACGTCTCTCCAGCCACAGGATCTGCGACAGGTGATCCCGCAGGGTGGAGCCCTCCAAGTCTGCCTGCCCCGCTCCAGAGGGAAGAAATTGCTCCCTCCCCCTGGACACTTCCCATGTTGAGGTAGGAGATGCCCGCCCTGCAGTAGAGGACGGTAAAGGGGCAGCATCCCACTTCCACCCCAGAGCGCTGAGGGAGGGTTGCCGAGAGGAGGGAGCTGGAGAAAGGGACCTTTAAGACCCGCCTGACGTGCTGCGCACACTCCTGAGCAGCCTGTGCTGCAGCCAACCAGGATCAGCGTGGCCGGAGTCTGAGAACCCACCTGTGGTGTGGAATGCTGCCCAGGCTTTAGGTTGGCCGGTGTGTAGCACACGGCAGGGTAGACCACAACAGTAGTGCAAAGTCTCTGAATCTAAATGGGTTGGCTGCCTACTGAAACAGTAATTAAGTGGAATTCAGAGTCATACATAATACTCAACTGTCCAGGATACATGACATTACAGAATTACTGTCCACACCAAGAACCAGGAAAATCTCAACTCGAATGAGAAAAGATGGTTAAAGACACCAACATCAGAATGACATAGGTGTTGGTATTATCTGAAAAGAATTCTAAACAGCCGCCATAAAAATGCATCAACTAGAAGTTGGACACCCTTTAAATAATGGAAAAACAGGAATTCTCAGCAAAAGAGTAGAAGGTATAAAAAGAAAAAGTGGACACAGAATAGGAAAAATACAATATTTGACATTGAAAACTTACCGAATAGACTCACTTGTAGACAACCGAAAAAAGAGTCAGTGATCTTGAAATTAGATCAATAGAAATAATCAAATCTATTCAATGAAAAGAAAAGAGATGGGGGAAAAGAGCCCCATGAACCTGTGGAACAAGGTCCCAGAGGAGAGAAGGACAGCCACGCCTCGGAGATGCTGCAGGACCAGCCCAGACCACCCAGTCACGTGCACATGGCAATGCAGCGAGCCATGCGACCTTCCTGGTGTCCTAGTGCATGGGAAGTATGTGTGCACTGTGCTGCAGTCCAAGCGTGTAACAGCATATGTCTAAAAAGCATGCATACCTTAATTAAAAATACTTCAGCGCTAAACATGCTGACATCATCTGAGCCTTCAGCGAGTTACAATCTTTTTGATGGTGGAGAGTCTTACCTTCAGTTTGTAAAAAATGCAACATCTGCAAAGCACAGTAAAGCAAATTGGAAGAAATGATGGCTGAAAACCCCACATCTGTTGAAAGAAAAAAGCCCACAGATTGAAGAGGCTGAGTGAACGCGGGGCTTTCTTGAATAAAAGAACACAGCCACGTGGCCACCTGGAAGCCTCTGCCAGGTGTCCCCTGGTCCACGCTGTGCCCTTCCCACAGCCCACACACCTGAGATGGTTACCTGGCCTCCGCGGAGACAGCATCTTTCCACCACCAAGGTGCTCACCCGTGCAACTCCCTTTCTGCCTGCCTCTGGGCGGGGTGCCCCTGCTCTGCCAGTGGCTGCCCTCCCCTCCCCGGCCCTCCCCTGGGACTTGGCTCTTGTCACCCTCCCACACTTGCCCACTCCGGGTCTTGTCATTGTGCCGGCTGCTCTGTGGCCATCCGTGTCTGTACTCTGAGGTTCTGGAGCACAGGCACATGCTGTGTCCTCTTCTGTGGGCTTGGGGCCTGGCAGTCAGCCCAGGGCAGCGTCTGGCTCCAGGGTGGAAGCTGGGTAAGGCTTTGGGGCGGGGGGAAATGCCCCCCAGTACATGTTCAATGAAGGGTTTTGAATGACTGTCAGTGGCCCATTGTTAAAACGCCAGTGTACTTGGCACACTGCCTGAGTAATCAGAACAAGTGAGGTGGTTTCTGTTTGCTTTCACCATAACCCCCCAGCCCCCCAGCCCCCCTGGGTGGGAGGGGAGCCTGGAGGGAGATGTCATGTTCCTCAGTTACCACCAGATGGCAGAAGAGAAGCATGCTGGGCACAGCCTGGGAGAGCCAGCCTCAGTGTGGATGGAGCTGCCCAGGGACAGAGCTCATGTACAGGGCAGGGACAGGCTGCCTCCTCATGCTTCTCACCGCTTGGCGAGACAGGGGCAGGGGCTTCTGGCTAGAAATGAACACGTGGGCAAGACACTGAACTGCATGCCTCAGTTTCTCCATCTTGTAAAACCAAGATAATAAAGGCAAATATCTTAGGGTATGAAGAGTGATTTAAGCCCTGGCCGGTAGCTGAGTTGGTAAGAGTGTCGTCCCAGGATGCCAAGGTTGTGG